CATAGTAAAACAAAGACTTATATTTTTGATATTTATTTTATATATTTAAATGCCATTTAACAAAGAAAAATGAACCAAAAAAATGAGTTCACGTTTCACCTCTGACACACGTGTCATAGGTTCGCCATCACTGCAAGCCCTATCCTGTTTCCATCCTTGGTTATTGGGGTTCTCTCCAGCTAGTCTTCAGTTGATTATTGAGGGTGGTTTTTCTGTATTTTAGTTGTAATTCCAGGAGAGTGTCAGAGTAGCTTCCACTTACTCCACCATTATTTTTCAAAAATCTATAGTATAAAGTCTTTACACATATGTCTATGCCACCTCAGCCATCAAACTAAAAACGAGAACACTGAAAATTGAGAATTTGAAAAAATTTCACTTCCTTAACTAAAATATTATTAAAAAATAATCTTACAGTAGATTAGGTAAAATTCTATTTTGAAAAATATTTTTGTAACTTCTTGGTACTGAAACAGGAATTTTGGGGGATGAAAAAGACAGGTTTAGGACATTTTTAGAAATTAAGAGGACCATGGGAGAAGCACAGGGCTGCAGAGCAGAGAAGGTATATTTCCATAGAATAGAGAAGCTGAAAAGCTGCAACAGGTACATTTCCATCGAATGAGGAAGCTGAAAATAGCAAAATAAATTACAAAATAAAGGGAATGAAGCCCTTCATTCAGAAGGAGAAGAAACCCCAAAGGGAAGAGGAAAACTATAAAGAAGGGGTGGAAACCTCACTTGTCCCATGTGCGGTTCAACCTTTGAGCTCATAAGTTACTATAGGAACCAATCCAAGGGAATAGTGACCCATCTGAGGGGATATCAAGGCACCATGATCCGCAGCCTTTATAAGCCATAGGGAAAAGGAACTCAGGGGACTCTTCGCCCTCCCCACGTGGGAGTCTCTGCTGTAAGATTCTTTCTCCTTCCTCATGTGGGTGTCTGTACTTGTTCTTCAATAAATTGCCACCTTGGCTATAGCACATTTCGTCCATGGATTCATTCTTCGAATCCCACGGACAAAGAATCCAGGGAACAATCCTGCCCAGGGGAACACCGCTTGTTCCAGTCCAAAAATTCCGTTTCAGTAATTTAGAGAAGCCATAAAGTTAATGTCTGGCATTTGTTCTCCACCTTTTCTAACATCAACAAACCAGTCTAAGAATTAAAAACAATTTAGACTCAGTTGCTTACTTCTGTGAAAAGTTAGTGGGCGCTAACACTCCTAACACAAATGCCCGCTTGGTACAAAGTGAACACTGTGGTCTTGTAGTTTTCTTGGGGAGAATTCCCCTCTTTAAGAGAGACCATAGAATGCGCTCTGAATTCTGGCCTAGGGGGTTTTCTCTCCAGACGTGAGTAAAAAGCTCTCTCACTTCAATAAGTCACCTGACAGGAGGCAGTTTTGTAGAGTAAATCCATCAGATATTCCAAGTTGCAACAGAATTAGTCTTTGTGTGGGTCTCACCTCACCTGCTAAAAGGCAGAGTAAACATTAAGCCACGTATTTCAGGAAAGAAAAAAAAAAACACAACTAAACTTTGTGCATTGGCTGTTGGTCCTATGCAGAGGAGAAAAATCACGTAGCTCAGGTAGCACTTTATGCTCAGGTGGACCAGAGCCCTCCCTCTCCAAGTCCTCACACCTCGCAGGATCTCTTTCAAATGAGCCATGGGCAAAGAGGAGGGGCTGCCACTATAAATGCAATTACATTTTTACAAGTTTTGTTTGCAGTTTTATAAAATTTAGTAGAAGAATTTGGGCCAAAAAACTTTGCCGTGCAAAGGAAATTATTGAGAAATCAGAATGGACCAGAGTGAATACTGTTTTACTCTATAAAGACATTTTATTATGCCTTAAGTCAGTGGTTCTCAATCTGTGGGTCGCGACCCCTTTGGCGGTTGAATGACCCTTTCACAGGGGTCGCCTAAGACCATCCTGCATATCAGATATTTACATTACGATTCATAACAGTAGCAACATTACAGTTATGAAGTAGCAATGAAAATAATTTTATGGTTGGGTCACAACATGAGGAACTATATTTAAAGGGCCAGAAGGTTGAGAACCACTGCCTTAAGTGTTCCTTCTCCTTCTCATCTCTGGTGAGGGACATTAGGAAGATGAGGTTGAGCAGAAATAATCAAGAATTCTGACTTAAATATAGAAGGATTACTGCACTCGTTTTCACATACTTATTTTCAAGAATGTAGTGTTTGCTTACATTCTTGAATTAATTAGAAACATGGATGGCTGTACTATTTATTTTTTAAAGTCTTGGGAATTTTTCAATCAAAAATTGTTATGCTTCCCAATATAAATTGACTTTTAAGATAGGTTCTACTTCATATTATTTTCATATGTGAATATGTTTACATGTGAGATGGATATAAGTATAACTAC